GGGTGGGGGGGGGGGGGGGCATCTATACAAGAAATCTCTACTTTTTGTTGACTTTTTGAGCTTTTTCCTTTTCCAGAAGCTTTCGTCATGAGACGGGCTTTCCCTTGTCTCCATAATCTAGTTTTTCCACAGAACAATAATCATAAGGTCTTCAAAGGCAAATCATATATTCATTTGCTTTCAAGTCCCTAGCAGCTCAGGTAATAATTTTCTGCTATGTCTGATTGCATTATCAAATCATCGACTGACTGTTAACTTCATGAACTGCTTCATGGCTTTCCTATCTGCTGTTGCTCATCCACCAGAAATCTTCCAACAGTCCTCTGACTACTGCAGGTATGCTGCAGAACAATTTTTGTCTAACGTTTACAGGAAGGACTGGCTTGCAAATGTGTTGTACATGGATTACTTTGGCATGAAAGGGAGCGAGAGAATCCCAACTTTCTCTGTAGGTTAGATAATTTAATCTAAGGAAGCTCATTTGACCCCTGATAACTAGATCTCTGGGAGGACCCTGACCTGAACTTCCTTTTACCACAGGCCAATGGAACAATGGTGCCTAAAATGGTACTCTGCATGGATAATGGAAAGATAAACTTTGGCACCATCCTTTCTTAGCAATGTGGTGTGAGATGCTACAATACTACATAGAATTTACCTCAATTCAGTTCTAAGCTAGGAATAAAGGGAATCACTTTACTGGGAAGCTAAACATAATTTTAACTAACATTCAGATCAGATGATGGAAATAGAAAAACATACTCACACCTGAGAGGATGGGGATAGATCCCAGGGTCTCTGAGCTCTTGTTAGTTGTTCAGTTTCCCTCAACTCAGGTCCATTATTCCTCTCCAGTCTTCCCCAGGTTTAGAATTACAGCTATACGGTCATTAATGACATGCATCTATCTACAGTTTGATTAGGTATATGTAGGGTGACTCTATATCCCAAGTGAGCTAGGACAGTCCTGGATTTCAGAGGCTGGTCCTGGCCAGTTGTTGGGAATTATAATGGGTATCCCAGAAATGCAGGGATGTGGGCCACAGTCTGGCTAGGAGCTGGACTGGTGCAGAGCGCCTTGCGAGTGGATATGCTGCTCGGCATGCAGCCCTGCTGCCCCCGTCGACTTGTGAGAGTGTGGGAGACAGGGCAGCGTCCCAGGTTTCCAGGATAATGTCCTGGATTTCTGGGTCAGCTTAAGTATATATTAATGAAAGGGATTGATCATGAAGCCCACCCTACTCTAGCTGAGTGAAGAATTTATGATCAGATGCATTCATTATTTAACAACAGTTTAACATGGATGGTCTTTCAGAGGTTATCAGTTATGTTTTGACTCTTGACAATTAGTGTAATTTCTTTCCATAATTGGCCTCAGTTACTTTGTTTGTCTTACTGTACTCAAACTAGTTTTGCAAGCCTGTCTTTATACAAGCTTACCTAGAGCTTTTGTTATTTAAGGCCCCTCTACATGTGCAGGTAAAGGCGTGATGGGATCTAATGCACAATTCACACAGTTGCACCTCCTGCCATGCCACATGTGTGTTGCATGTGGCATGGCAGGAGATGCAATTCACACATTAGATCCCATCATGCCTTATAGCTGGTGCAAGGGGAGCCCAGTCCCAGGCTCCCTCTGAACTGGCAAGAAGCAAGCTCTCATGGCTGGAAGCCACCTTAGCTCCCAGTTGTGGGGGCACCCCACACACTCCCAGAGCAGGGAGATCAGTGCAGTGGTGATCCTCCTGCCCCAGGGGTTTCATCTAGCCCTGGGTCTGGGAGATTGTAGTTACAGCCTATGGCTGCCAGGACCCAGCTGGCTCCCGGTGCCTGGAGGCGCACCGCAGAGACCCAGCATCTACAGCTGTGGGACATTGGGACCTGGCAGCTGTGAGGTGCTACCAGGACTTAGAGTCTACAGCTGCTGGAGCTGAGGGTCCCCAGCAGTTGCAAAACTCACAGACCTGGCTGGGCAAGGGGTATCGCTACAGTTGGGAGCCCACAGCTGACAGCTCCTAGCCACAGGGGAGACCCTGCTATATGTGCAAACTACACCTCAATAGCAACCAGCTATAAAGTTAATATACATTTTTGAGGTCTAACTTAATAGTTGGGTGGAGCTTTTTATTGTGTAATAAGTACTTTGTATTAGGGCTGTACGAGGCTTCAGACCATGCTTCGGATCTGGAGAAGCTTCGGACACTTCAGTGTCTGAAGCAGCATGTCTGGATCAAAGCACTGGCTTTGTTAGGCTTTCCTGGTCCAGAGCTCCGGATCAGATCACTGGCATCTGAAGCGGCTGGATCTGAAGCCAGATCAAATAGCTGCCTACTCGCACAGGCCTACTTTGTATATGTAGCTGGTCTCCAGGTCATTGAGTAATATCTGTAATGTGTAGAGAAGGCCCAAGTTACACGTTTACAGCAATAACGTAAATCCCTATCTTGATTCAACTGATGAAGTATACAAGATGGAGGCACTTGTGCCAAGGCCTCTGTGTTCTTTGTATTAGCCACAATAGAAGAATTTACCCTTTGCTATGGGATGAACTTGCTACAAGATTAGACTTTCAAAAAAACAAAGAAAGGAAATGGTGGGGGGGCAGGGAGGGTAGAGCAGAGAGACTTCATAATATGGGCAACATACCCTCTTCAGAGGTCTAAAAACGTTAACAGTTTAACTTTAAGATCATGATTGACAAGTTTTTGGATGGTAGGATTGGATAGCATAATTCTGCATGAACTTTTGCGTATATTTTTGTCCCTTGGAATGAACAAGGTACAAGGAAAAGATAGGGGAAAGCACTATCATGTTCCTCAGTGTTGTTTGTACCTAGCACTTCATGGGATGTTTCGACAGCTGGCCTGAGTCATCCTACTTCCACTGACTTCAGTGGAACTATGCCAGTTCTTATCAGCTGAGCAATGGGCCCTCTGCCTGCTTATCAACAGTGGATTCAGCTGCACTTGCTTAAGTGCGAGTGAAGGCTTGCTAAACATGTTGCCAGCACTGTCTCAGCTTGTTACCAAAGTGGCACTGAATGTAGTTTGGGACACCATCCAAGTGGGAAAAAAAACCCTACAATGTACCTCAGCTGTGAGGGCATATTCTTGTACTTAAATTCTGTACTTCCAGTTTATCTGGGATTACGTGAGAAGGAAAAGAAGCAACATTATCCAAATACTATGTTTTATATGAACAATGAATTCTACAGAAGGGAAACGGGTCCCCTTTGTTTGGCATTAAGCAAGAATATTTAAGACGTTAGCCTTTAGCTGATTTTCATCAGCCCAGTGGGTCCTTTGATTAAATGAATAACTAGCTAATCACAAGCTTCTTAGATCATGGGCCTGTCTCGCATTGAATTTCATCTGGAAGCATGTATTTGAAAGCTTACTTGTAAGGATGAATGGGCACCCAGGCAAGAGTTTTGTCTGAAGAGTGAATATGCCAGAAACAACAGGGAGAGTTCACTGGCCTCAGTCATGCATATTCTTTGATTGACAAGGGTTATCAGCAATAGGCCTCCTTAACCAGTCATCTTTAAAAGCATTTAATTACTGGTGCCTAAGAGAAAACACATTATACTGCATATACAGATATAGAAAAATGAAGCTTATAAATACATAAGGGGTGTACATCAGGATCTGGGGGAACACCTGTTCACCGGAGCACCCCAGGAGATGACAAGGTCCAACGGTCACGAACTCCTGCAAGACCATTTTACGCTTGGCGTAAGGAAAATCTTCTTTACCGTCCGAGCCCTTAAGGTATGGAACAGATTCCCCCTAGCAGTGCTGCAAGCACCTACTATGGACACTTTCAAGAAACATTTGAATGCTTATCTTGCTGGGATCCTTTGACCCTAGCTGACTTCCTGCCCCTTGGGCAGGGAGCTGGACCCAATGATCTTATGAGGTCCCTTCCAGCCCTAATGTCCATGAAATCTATGAAATCATTTCAAGGATCAACACAAACTGGCATCTAAATGAGAGGGGTTAGGGATATGCCTCCCTTGTGGGCAGGTTACCCCGTTACAGTCTACTACAGGTTTCTTTAGCCCCATCGGAAGCATCAAACACTGGCTACTGTCAGAGACAGGGCATTGGTCTAGATGGATGTATCAGACTATCAGTGTTGGCCTGAAGCTCCCCTCCGCCCTTAGGAAGTGTTGAGG